GATGAATTCATAGATGCACAGTCAGAAGACGCTACTCACGTCAAGCCTGGCCAGTACGCCAGAAAAGGCAACTACAGATGAACAGTCCGCTCAGACGCAATATGAACACTAAAATAGGAGTTCCACGGAAATGTCCAGTGATTTTTCTTCACCAGTAGGCAGCATCAAAACTTGACATAACTGCAGCGCATCAATTGCGTCCAAGGAGCGCCAAACGCCGGACGACCAGCTACCCATTTACAAGAGGCATTGCAGAAAGCACTGCTTTGATTTCCTCTGCCACAACAGCGACAGATGCCAATGACAACACACCAAACGCTAACCTTGCAATCACGACGACATAGAAGAAAATGAACGCTACGCCTTCGACATCGATGAAGCAGCTAAGAAGCCGACCACCAACGAGGAACGAACCGGCGGACATCGAGGTTTTTTCTAAACCCGCACGATCTGTAGACGCATCGAGTCCTTCGAGTTCCCAACGCCATTCCAAGCCAGGCAGTGGGAGCAGCGGCAGTGACTCCACTAAACAGGAAACATTTAAGAAATCCCGCGTGGGATCACTGCCACGGCGAACGTCACCACCTGCTGTGCGACGACGATATGTACTTCGAGCATTTGGCTCTCTTCACTCTAACCTTTCTTTGCTTTGAGCAACTTCCTCACCTTTATTTCAACAATGGCATCACTTTCTTTTATGTTGTTCAATGTTCGCGGTTTCACAATTTGGTGAAGCAGCAGGTAGTACTTGACTTCAGCGCGGGCGCATCACGTTGACATGCTCTTTTTGCAGGAGACAAACTTTCGTACTAAGCTTGATGTTGCAGAGTTTTAGGAAAGGTTTCATGCAGAGGCCTTCTTCTCACTCACAGATGCACGTGCACAGTGGCACAGGAGTTGTTTTCATGAACGCAACACTCAGGAGGGGTGCTCACTGTCTTATTGACACCGAAGGCCGCATTATAACAGTATATGTGGTACTTAACTGCAACAAGTCAGATTAGTCTACGTATATGCGCCCGTAACGAGGTCAGAAATGAATGGGTTCTACTACGGTGTCAGAAAATTTTTGATCGAGTCGATATCATATGTGCTTGTTAGAGATTTCAACTGCGTGCTCAATATTACACGGGACGTCAGGGTCCCGGCCAAGGCGCCAACAATTTTTACGCCAGAGAACTAAAGCAATTAGTTCAAGGTCTCAAGCTGACAGATCGGTGGTTAACTCCACCTGGAGTCGGATTCGTCGCAACCCGCGCTTGTGGCCTTCACCAAAGCCGAATTGATAGCAGTTTATGTGCCCGACGACTTTTTAGCAAACCTACAAGCATGTGAGGTGGTCCAGCTTGTGCCAAGCCAGCAGAAACTCAGCAATCACGCTCGTTACTCTTCAACTTAAATGTGAGCACAAGGAGAATCCACAAACCATGGAGGATGGACCCAACTATTGCTCATGATGATGAAAGTATTTCCGTGCTTCAAACTGAGCTGGCAGCCTCACTGGCAGAAGTGGGTTGCATAACTTCGACTACATGGAACCACGTAAAACCTCGATGGCACCTCATAGCTCAACAGGCAGAAAAAGCATGCCACGCTCGCCTCACGGCCAAGATGAATGAGATTCTCCGACACGTCAAGAGGTGAGTCAACTACATTCACTATGCTCGAATACCTTGAAGCACAAAAAATTAAATATCAAAATCTTTTAAAGCAGAGGTCTCAGGCTACAAGGCTCGTAAGAGAAATGCACTTATCGGCAGATGAAATTGAAAACTTGACATTTGGGCAAAGAAACCGTGATCGTCGATGCCAGCCCCGCTACATCGATGAAGGAGGTGCTAAATGAGGATGGTACCATTGTTAGTGACCTGGACGAAGTTCGAGAAGTTTTCCGATACTACTTTGCAAAACTGTTTACTGCAGACCATGATGCACAGGACGACGAGTTTAGTGCCGAACTCTGAGCCTTTTGCAAAGGTTTGCCATCGCTAGGCTCGGAAGACGGTTCAGTATTATATGCAGAAACTGATAAAAAAGTACGGTACGCCTTAAAATCAATGAATACGTCCACGTCACTAGGCCCAGATCGAATACTCACGGGATTTTATCTGCGTTTCTTCGATATCTTGAGAGATGCGATCACCGATCTCGTGAATATTTTGTTGCATGATGGCCGAAAACCGCAGTCCTTCTGTGAAGGAAGGGTGTGTTCACTTGCTGAAAGAGTGTATGGTATGGAAAGTCAGATCTAAATCGTGGAGGCCAATTATCCTTCTAAACACAGACTATAGGTTATTAGCCACTCTGCTATACGGCGTTCTGCGCCTTCTTGAAAGAGATTGGGTCACCTTTCTGTCATGTGCCAGTACCAGGAATGTTCCGTCTTCGTACCTCTACACTCACAGAGACCTCTTTGCATAAGCCAAAGAAATATAGATTCAGGAGATATATTTCTATTTTGCTAAGGCCAGCATTTGATAGAGTGAACAAGGTATCTTTCGCTATTTCGCGCATTTCGGTCTCCCAGAGCAGTATGTGCGACCGGTATAAATACTTTATTAGGATCTATCAAGTTGTCTTTATATCAACAACAAAGTGGCCAGAAGCTTTGCAATTCAATTACCGTAATACTCGAATCTAACGCGCACCTTTTTCGGTTTAAGCAGTCATACAATCGCATGCGCGTTAGAAATAGAGTCGAACAAAAAAATTACGGTCAATTCTAGCATCGGCAAAAATTCAAAATGGCCGCCCCCTAGTCGTCGGCATGGCCCCACGCTGCATTTCGCCTAGTGTTTCCCATGTGCGGCATTCGTAAGTTGTGCTGGGAGTTCATCTAGAAGTGAATTGCATCGACGGCGTCGGTGGAAGGGCTGATTCCAAAAACTCGAGTGCACCACGATGCGCTTTTAGCCTACTTTCGCTTTACACTCCAGTGAAATTGGCAGTGAAGGGAAACTGTGAGGGAGGCAATGACCAAGTTTTGCTTAGTGCATTTGACAGCCTTAGTGAAAAGCGCCGTGAGGCACTTCAGAAAAAAAAACGCAGTCAAGGAAGAAGTGTGGAAGCGACTGAAACACATACCATTCCATGACTTGTGCAATCTCCCCGATGATCACACGTACAACGTGTTGTCGCCAGAAGAGAGTGCACAGTATTATTTAGCTGGCTATGTCGCATTTAAAGTTAACAGAGCTGCAGATTGTGCTGATTGCAAGAAAGATCTCGTTGGTTCCCAGGATGCCCTTCCTGCAGAAGCACTGCTAATCATTGAGCGTGCTCACGTTTCTGGTTGCCTTGTATACCCATCCAGAAAATTATTTGCATGCATAAGTACCATCGAGAAGACAGTGAGTCAAGAAAGTGAACAAGCTACATTTGGTGATGTTTTTTGGAGGGTTCTTGATAGCCTTATTGAAAATGGCACCAACACAGTTGGCTGTTCACAACACTGCAGCGAATTCACTGGTAAAGTGATCCATTTTTATAATGCATTTCTTTGCTCGCAAAAAGTGCCAAGAGAACGACTCCGCAGTCAAATCACAAAGAGAGAGAAAGAAGGCAAAACTTGTTTGAAATTGCACAGTTGTTTCCTGAAGTGTGTAAATAAAGATTGCATTTTGAATTTTATCACTTGATTGTCTCGTGTTCTTCACCTTAGTTGCATGCACGCGTGATATTTTTGTCTAATGTGGGAAACTGGCAGTAAAAATACCAGCAAGAAATATATGCAAAGCATGAAAATACTAGTGAGGACGAGGAAACATGAATCCCGCCGCAGTGGCTAGGCGTTGCACTGCTGAGCACGTGGATGCGGGTTCGATTCCCGGCCGCTTTTCTGATGGAGGTGAAAAGCAAGAACGCCCGTGTGTGCGAGATTTCGGCGCACGTTAAAGATCCCCAGATGGTCAAAATTAATCCGGCGCCCTCCACTACGGCGCGTCTAAACGCCGGCGTTGCGTCGGCGCGTTAAACCTTGCAATCAATCAAAACACGAATGGATTCGGGTTAGGACATCTGATTGGCAACGAAAACATTTCCCTTCCTATCAAGGCTACGCGCGCGCTTTCAGTCAACCCAAACGAGGGCCCGGTATGCAGGGCGCAGTTAAAGCATAAGCTTGTGGCCTCGAATGTTCCGAATGCGTAGAAAATAATACAGCGGTGCGTTGCGACACGTATTAAGAACATCACACACCAGAGTGGAGTGCTTAAGATTTAAAAGCTGCAACGGGCGTAATAAAACCAGACGGCTTGCTAAGCCCGCTGCGCAAGCGCAACGTTGGAGCTAGCAGACGACGCTCGCAACGATAGCGCAATTCTCGACTGCAGCGCCGCGGTGTCAGGAGCCGTAGCGGGCCGGCTGCGTTCAATGGCCGCGGCGGCGAGTTTCTAAACTGAAATATATTAATAAACGTTGCTCCAGTACGCATGCGTCAGTGTTATCCTGTAAGATGTGATTAACTTGGTTCACTTTAATTTTCCTTTGACATGTAACATTTGGATACCCAGTAATCAATTAAATTTTGGTGCTCATTTGTAAGATGTATACACTATCTTTCGTTTCGTTTGCGCATGTACAAGTTAAGTGTACAATAAACTTCTCCTCAATCGCCGAACGCCAACAGCTCATTATGCCCATGGTAAGATGGCTGCCGCCGCCGCCATCTTACGGTTGGCACGGCTCACTCGTGGGCAAGAATTTCCACTCCATTTTTTTTAAACCTCCTTGCTCGACACCAGCACTTCGCGGGCCGCGATCTTTTTCTGCGGGCGGGCCGCGAACGGGCGACTCGCGTTACGACGCATGCGCAGTGGCAGCGACCACACCGCAAGGGCTCGCGGTGCGCTATTCTATATTTTAAACCGCAAAACGCCAACTCTATTGTAGCACTAACCCGAACTAAAAATGCGTTCTGCCAGATTGAAATTACTGCTGTGTTTTTGAATGCTAATAAGAGCGCACAGCGATACATTAAGAAGAAATCGATATATCCTTACGTTTAGACGACTTGGTGAGGTCTCTTGATGTCCGCACAGCATACCTCTCGTTGACGGCAGCCAATGACATCTCAAAAAGCTCAAGCTCTTCATCTGATTTTAGGTAGCCGTGGGAGTAGCCGTCGTCGTGATGATGCAAGCCTTGGAGGTACTTTTTGATCACATTCTGCCGGTCAGAAGGCTCATACATCGTCGTGTTGCGCCTCCGGCCACAAGCGAAAGGGATAACGCACGCCGCACGCTTGCCGCAAATCAAACAAAAGTAACAAATGCAGCCTACAATGCCAGTGTTGCCAGATGGCGCAAACCTCAAACGGCCAAATTGAACTCTGCAATAGCCCGAACGTAGTCAAATGCATAATTTTGAAAGAACCCAAACAATTTCTTTTGTTTTTTCTTGTGCTCATGCAATTACTATTTTGCAAACATACAAAAAGTAATCTGTTTTTGTATTAGTTTATATAAGTTTTTTTTTTAGTTCAGCAACTGGCAGCCCAAATGGTGCGTTTGCTTTTTTTATTTTTTGGCTGTATGAGTGAATCAGTTGCATTAGTAAAATATTTTGTTTTTGCCACTCAAAATGATAATGCGCTGGCTTAAGGAAATGCAAAATGTTTATTGTCACTTCACAACATGAAACCTTCCGTAAAAACTGCAACTCTAAGCAGAGACGATAGTTATAGCGCGAGAACAGAACGACGACAAAGAGACAAGAAGGACACGAGTGTCCTTCGTGTCCTTCTTGTCTCTTTGTCGTCGTTTTGTTCTCGTGCTATGATCATCATGTCATACCAACTAGCCCAAGCTGTCATAATTCTAAGCAGAGTTATTCAATCACATATGATTGAATAACGTTGACTCTAAGTTGCAAGGTGTAAAGCTTTAGGTAGTTTTAGAATAGCGCACCACGAGCCCTGCGCATGCGTCGTAACGTCAGTCGGCGTTCGCGTTCGCGGACCGCACGCAGAAAATTCGAAATGGCATGCGGTGATGGCGGCCCACATGTGGCTCGCAAGCGCTGGTTTCGAGGCTGCAATGTCGCTGCGGTCGTGCGTTGCGGTTCGCTGCAGGGCAAACGCTGTGTTCTAAAGCTCTTATGACGCCCGCAATGCCCGCAGCGCTTTCAAACGGTATTCTAAAGCTCCCTTTTATTTGAACTTTTTATGAACGGCTCTTTGGGCGCCGCCATAGTCCTTCCTGGGCTGCGCAAATAGTCGCGACCCCCCCCCCCCCTAATACACTGTGGAAGCTATGCCATTATCCTTTGTACTACCGCGCGCAGACGTTTTAAATGCGAAGAATTTCTTAGAGAGCATCGGCGACTTTGAGCCCGTATTTATCTACATATTTATCTATCTAGCCGCCTAAGACTTCCAGCTCTCCTGGCTGTTTTGTTAATGGTATCAATACTAAATTTGGCATGGCATAACATGACTTATGACGAGCATAATTGACTAGTCATAACAAGACTATCATGACATGTATGGCATGAATCTCATGATATATATTTCATGGTCTTGCTGCTCATGCGGTTGTTTCGTTCATGTTGCGAAATTGGCATGGTATGACATGACTGCATGGCAAACACAAGTGACAGACCCTGACGTGGAATTCATGACATGCATATATATGTCATGTAAGTCATGATTCATGACTACGCGCCACGTACGCTCATGGTACGTTCACAGTCGTTTCGCTAGCTTCACATATAAACCAAATTTGGTGTTACGGTACGTGAATAGATGACGAAGGTATGTGACTGGTGCAAACATGATAATCATAAGATACGTGTCATGTAACAACATGACTACATGCCACACTCATGATGCGCTCGCGGTCGTTTTCCTAGCTTAATTACGGGACGTGAATGGATGACGAAGGTATGTGACTGTTCATGAGATGCGTGCACGTGTCATGTAACAACATGACTACCTGCCACACCCCAAGTAACCACGGATATCCGTTAGGAATACGTCGGGACGTCCGTCTCGGATATTCCGGACATCCATCAGATATCCGCGGACGTACAATGTACGTCCAATGGACATACTGTGAATGTACAAAGGTAACAAATTTGTACGTTCGCTCGTCATCCGTCTTGGACAGCCGACACGGACATTAAAAGGACCTTCAGGGGATATATTATAGATATACACAGGTACATATATGTTCATAATAGATATGTATATTGATTTCTTATTCATTGTGCATAAATAATCTACCCACTAATGGGCCTTTGAATGTCCATGCGGCCTGTCCGAGGCTGATGTCGAGTGAGCACAAATACCTAGCTATATATATATGTGTGTGTGTGTGGTAATATCGAGGGTCCTTGAGGTTTGTGCACTCTCGCAATTGATGCTTGAACGTCTTTCACAAGAACCCTTTTGCTGCAGATTAAATATCAAAGCGCTAAAATTATTTCTGGTGCAACGCTAAATTAAAACAAGATTCATGGACACAAATAAGGTGACGACTAGGGATCCGGAGTGCCAATTACCAGCTGTTTATTGATGGTATAAGCTAGAAAAAACAATCATGCACAGCGACGTGAAAGAGTACAGCGAACTTTCATGCCACTGTGCATGCTTAGAAGCTTATTTGTTTTCAAGCTTTTACCATCAACTTGCCCAGGAACAAGTGCTAAAGCGTAAGAAGATTGGGCTCACACAAGGTCTCAGATGCAATAAAATGTTTATTATCATTAGGTCAAATCATGTACTCTAGTAATAATGAATAAATAAATTAAGCAAACACTAATTAAATCAAGTACGATGTTCAAGTTGAAGTGTGAACACAATGATGAGAATAGAAGCACAGCTCCACACAATTCTAGCAGTGAAGGCAATACAATGAAAGAAGTTAACTGTGATTATTTCATTTTGTAATATCAAAATTAAAACTTACAGGGTCATAAAGACACAAGCTTTGGCACAAACAAAAAATGTCAAGAACATTTAGCAAGAAATAAAAAAGGTTTAAGTTAAAAACTGACAAAATCCAGTATGATGCAAAACACCATTCCAATACAATACTGCAGAACAGGCGACAAATATGACTGTTGCAAAAATACAAAAACAAACATGAAATGGGAAATACCAAAAAAATGTATAAGACAAATTCACATCATGGAAAGCACAGGGCTCAATTCCATCACATGCTGAAAATGGATGACACAGTTTTATTGTTTATTAAGTACAATAAACATTAATCATACATAAAACTGTCATTCGCCCAGAAGCATTTTAGAGCTCTACATAGAACAATGCAATGGGACAATTAAGATACCCTTATGACATGGATATCTCTTAAACACTATGAACAGTCCTCAGATAGACATCAGTTTTAATTCAAGCACAACCAATACACCTCTTTATCTTTGGAGAATGTGAATGTTTATTGCACAATAGTGGCTGTTTCGTTTCACTGCTAGCACAATATGGTGACCAAATAACTGTCATATTAAAGGGGTAGTGCCACCATTTTTTTTTGAAGGACCGTTTACTCTGCCCTACAAATCTCCTGTGTATAGAGATAGCTCGGAGCAAGTGTGAAGTACAGCAAATGCCGAGATAGATTATTTTGGAATTAAAGCCAGAAGGGTGTCTTGAAGGGCCAGTTGATACATGATTTGCATGAGCGCATGACTCAAACTATGTACCTAAGAGACGACAAAAATTTATTGTCTTTCCTGTGCTGAGCAAAGCACCAGGAAATACCCAGCACAAGACAAAAAATTTCCGCCATCCCTTACGCACGCGGTGCGAGCCATGCACTCAAGATCGTTAGCAAAGCAGGCGTAAGGCTTTCTCGGCAGCCTATGCGAAAAAGTAAAGTAACCCCAAAGAGCGTGCGTGCATAAAGAAGCACAGGACACAGTACGAGGAATGCATTAACAATGTATTACGACATTCCGTTGTCATGTGGCTACACCTATGCTGGACAGACCAGTCAATGTTTGAACGATCACCTGAATGAGCACCCGTTCAATCTCAAGACTTCAACAAGCAGCACCTTAGCAGCCCATTGTTCCTCGTGCAGCTGCACCCAGCTCTTCCATAATTGAAAGATGCTTTCACGATATCGTAACAAGATCGAGTGCGAAATCAACGAAGCCTTCCATATTAGGAAGAAAGGACACGTGTGTCAGTGAGCCTCCACTTGCCCTCCTCGAAAAAGAGAACATGTTTCTGGGCTGTTAACTTTGGACATTTTGACTCGTGAGAGATTCATCTTGCTTTTCATCTTTATGAGAAAGTGTTGTAGTCCTATTTGTTTTTGCAGCTCTATATTTTCCCGTGTAATAAACACACACACAGTTGTTCCTCAGTTCCATTGTTCCTCAGTGTTGTGCGGTCATTCTTTCTTCGTCCCAATTTAGTGCCATTTTTCCCTCGGTACTAGTAAAGCCAATTTTCCCAAGGTGCACCTCGCGACATCGACACTAGCTTGACGTCAGGCTACAGTACTAATTCTGGCGACATCATACAGGATACTCGCCTGGCCATGGGAACATCACAATTTCTTGCTCCAGCATGTGAAGAGCTCATATCGCGACTTGAGAGTACAGTAGGAACCAAGACTAGTTTTTAATAACATGTTGTAATTACTTTTTCAGGGAGCACTTACACTTATTTTCTAGGATCAGCAGGTCTTGGCTTAACATTTAACGCAACGGTGGTATAGTGTCTAAGGTACTCAGCTGCTGACCCGCAGGTCGCGGGATCAAATCTCGGCTGTGGCTGCTGCATTTCCGATGGAAGCGGAAATGTACGCCCGTGTGCTCAGATTTGGGGGCACGTTAATGAATCCCAGGTGGTCGAAATTTCCGGAGCCCTCCACTACGGCGTCTCTCATAATCATATGGTGGTTTCGGGATGTTAAAGCCCACATATCATTTAACGCAAGAAAACAACAAATTAAACTTTCATGTAACAACCACTTAAAGGGGAACTCCGGCGTTTTTTCAATATTAACTGATTTCAATAAAACTTTAAACATGTGTTTTCATTGGTACCGTGATAATATGTGCCAAATTATGCACCCTAAGTCATTCAGTTTCTTGGAAAACAAATTTTAAAATTAGTAGCCGATTCTGCAATCACACTAGTAAACGCAGGCCACCCTGTGCATGTGACGTAAGGGCCTACTCTTTTTGGAAAACCCTGCATTCCCCGGCAGACAGATGCAACGTGCGCTTTCTTCTATGAGGTGACAACGCTAGCACAGTTCAGTTTTGTCAGCTGTATACAACG